TTCGCGGCATTCTCTGATCAAAAAAATTATCACTGTACCAACGTGATGTTATCTCATATTATCATACTATATTATATGAATGTCTTCCTATGAAGCATGATTTGTATCACTTGCGGAAATCTTTAAAATATTTGTTCCCGTACGTACGTACTAATAAATTAAAGAATTTTGCTATTTATCACCGCTGGTGATCATCACCGGTGTTGTTATATCTCAAAAATGTACTAAGTAAACGGGATCGGGTACTCTAAGTAAAAATGTTCAGGACCCCTGAAAACCTCACGAGAACTGAGATCGGGATCTTATATCCAATTTATAATATTATATAAAAAAAAATCCTCTCTAATTCCTAACCCTAACCCTAGAAATTCTTAGGACTTTCTAAATTAATCGGGCTAATTATTAATTATATATACTGTAAATATTATATATAATTAATTCTATATTACATATTTAGAAACTCTTTCTAAATCTTAAATTATCTAAATTCTAAACTATAATACGTATATACGTAAAAAATCTAAGAAATAGCGATATAATTAGTAATGTGAGTTGGTAGCTACCGGTAGATACTGTTAGGCTAAAATATGCAGGGTAGATACCATTAGACTACTTCCATTAGCTGAACCAATAGAATCTATTTATTATACTAAATGTCATACATTGCCGGTAATGGTAACTGCCGGTAATTACCACCTACCGATAGAATCGATAGCTATCAGATATCGACATAAATGAAATTTTTGCAGATATTACATCACTAGTTACCTAGCATAACTATTTATATCGATATTGTCGTAATCAATGTGCACCTATGCTAGAAACCCGAATAACAAAATTTCGTCAAGTTTTAAATTTTCACTTGCTCAAGTCAATTATTAAATGCGCTTAATGCAGTAATAAAATGTAACATATGTTATCTTTACGTATTATAACAAAGTTTATTGGATTTTAAATAACGATGATACGTACAAATTGTTTTCGGTATAAGGAAAATATATAAAAGAAAAAAATATCAGCAAATGCTTAAATTCTATATGCGGAATCTGCGGTGACAGATTGAAAATTCATTCTGCGAGTAAAATTTCTTTGAATCTGCGGATTTTATTATTTGTCACATATCACACATCCTTTTTTTTTTTTCCTAATTATTACGTACAAAAATTATCAAGCTTTTCCGCATATTGAACTGATAACCAGTCATTATATGATAAAATGGCGGGTTTTTTTTTTCAGGAACAATGACTTCGGTTTCAAAATCCGATCAAATTCCGAAATGTCCTGCATACTAATTTAAAAAAAAAAAACAAAGTCATATGGATAGTGCATTAAATAGTACCACCGGGAATATGTGTTACAATATGAGAAGATAAATTTTTTAAGGATTCAATAACTCCGTTCTCTAAATATTTAAATATCATGAGATTTATTTTCTCATTAACATCCAAAAATGAACCCACCTAACAATGATAACGATAAATTATTATCACATCGAGCATTTTCCGTTTCATTAATATTAATCAATATACTAGCTCATATACTTTTAGAACGTGAAATAGTTAAGTGCACTTTAGTGAACAGATGGTGGAACCAATTAGCAACAGAAAGATTATGGTATAGATTCCGTGGACTAAAAAACAATTCAAAAACTAAATCTTTTGAAAAATTTCTTAACACTTTGGTTTCAGCCCGTGATGGTAAATGTCTTCATCAATACGGTAATTATGTTAAAATTCTAGATTTAGAAAAACTAGAATTGGATCATGAACAATTATTAATGACATTGGAATGTTGTCAACGAATTGAAACATTTATCATTGGAAGTACAGTGCTGAATAAGCAAAGAATGTATGATATGGCATCTAGATTACCTAATCTTAAATTTTTCAAGTTTTCTGATTCGGTAGAGATTAATGATGGTGAAGCAATGGATGCAATAGCAGAATATTGTCCTCGTTTGGAGGAATTAGAATTAAAAAAAGATATTTCTTGTTTCGGTGAAGTTTTGTTTCGAATAGTACAAAAATGTAAAAAAATTCAAAGATTGGATATCGAAGAAAAAAATTACGAAGATCAAACGATGATACCTATTCTTGAACAAGTTCCTGAAATAACTCAGTTGAAGATTCATCAATGTATTGGTATTAGTGAAGAAGTACTCTTAAAAATTTTCAAATTTTGTCCGAAACTGACAAAACTTAATGTCACTAATATGCATGAAATAACAGCAGGATTCGCACTTGAAACTGCAAAGCATTTTAAAAAATGCTCTAGAATTACAGTTAATAAGGTGGATAGGCCACTAGACAGCAGCATAGAAGCTTCTGAAGATAAATTAAATGTTTCTTTATATGAAGATGAAGTTGATCTAGGAATGATTATTAATTATTTTATTAATAGAAAAGAAAAATTGAGAGAATTAATTTTGTCTGATGTCCAATTGAATAAGTTGACCTTGGGAATTATTAGTGAGAATTTGGATTTATATACATTAATATTGTCTGGCGTCAAAGGGTTAGCAAAAGCGGTATGTTTTTTTTTTTTTTTTTAAAAAAAAAAAGATTAAATAGATTTCTTTTTTTCGTAAATCTCTTATTTATTTATTTTATTTAATTTTTAACAGGACGTACTGACAACAATTTCAAAATTAAAAAATCTAAAAACATTTTCAATACGTTTTTCAACAATTCCTACTGAATATATGTTAAAGGATGAAAAAGAGAAATTATTTGAAATTTGTCCAAACCTGGAATTTATTCAGTGGCATACGATTCATTTTAAACGAAACTAAGTGAAGTGATTTCAATAATAAATTTCTCGTAAAGAAAAAATTTGGTATTACTATAGAAAAAAAACCAAATTGTTATAGATTAATCATCAAAATTTTTATTCAACTTGTTAACTCTCACATTTTAACAAAATATGATTGTTATAAAAAATAGATAATATTGTCTGAAAGAATGTGTATCTTTGTAAATAACGTAATTTCTTGATACATGTTTTATTTCACTAACAACTGGCCTTAACCCACTATTCAAATAAATCAAGTATAACGTACACTATACATATATATACATATATATATGTTTTGATTAAAGAAATTAAAAGAAGCGAAATTCATTTTACTATGTAAAAAAAAAAAAAAAAAAAAACAACCAAAAAACCAATTTAATAAAAAGGAAACGCGAAATGAATCTTTAAAAGGAGAAATATATACAAAATGTAATAAGACAATGTTTAAATGTTTATCATGCTGAAGAAATATCTCGTTTGTGATGAGTTAATGGACCAGAATCTCGCCTGCAATAATTATATGGTGTTGTCTCACGTTTGTAGGAATAATTTGGAACGGCTTTAATGTCGCGTTTTTGTCTATTTGCATCTAGATTACGCTTATAGCGGTAAGCTTCCGAATAGGTTGGCAAGTCACGTTTGTAGTCGAATTGACGTTGAGAATCTTCACGTTGATTGACAGCACATTGTTTTTGGGGAAAGCGTTTCTCTTGATATGGACAACTTTCGTTGTCACGCTTTTGTTCATTTAGAAGTGATGAACGTTTGTCCAGAAAGAGAAAGTAAACTGAATAATCGAAAAAATTAGCTAATATAATAATAATAATAATAATAATAAATCTTTTCTTTCGATATAAAGTCCGGTACTCACTTTCTTTATCGTCGTCATCGTCGTCGCCGTCAGCGAAGACGATTGCAATAGCAACAAATAGTATGAATGTTAACATGAATATATTGATAATTTTCATCGTTTATTATTATTTATTATTTATAATATTAATAATTTGTACAATGTAAACGTAATTTGGTTTGATGGATACTGAAAGGCATTTATATTGTTTTTTGATGGAATACTCTCGTTATAATAATTCTTTAACATGCTATTGCCTAACGTTGCTAGATGCGACATTAACACGTATCAAATCCTTTCAGTTTTAAAATTCTTGATAAAATTTCTCCACGTTCGTTTGGTATTGATAAATAAAACGTCTTTGCAAATTCTGTTGATGACAGAATATATTAAAAAGATGCCAAGTGTCATATTACTCATTTATGCAATAGTGTCGGCTCGGCTCTGAACTAAATTAGACTCACAAAATCCGTGACCAAATGCTACTACACTAAGCCCACAACTTTTAATGAGCAACATACCGATACAAATATATATATCGCGTAATAATTCATTATACTGCTATACTGTATACCAAATATCTAATCAAGATCTAGTATCGAGAATGCCACATTTTTTGTTTATTACGCACTAAGCCGTGATCGCAAAAAAAAACCCAAATTTGGAAATGATATCGGGTATATTTCGCTTAATATCCGAGTATATACCGATACAAATATTAAAGTTAGGTAAATCCAGAACCAATATAATTACAGGATATTATGTGTAGTAATTCAATATGGGGTTCATTTCTATTAGCTAATCAGTAAGAATGCTGATTGCAATACAGACTATGTCAAATTTGATAAAAAATTAGTCTACCAAGTCCGTTTTCGCTATATAAATCTAATAATGCCTCACAATGTTTTCAAATCTGATAACCTCTCATAATGATACAAAATCTGTCTGACATGCATATCCCCCGGAGGGGTTAAAATAATAATAATAATAAAAAACAAACCAATTTTATACAATTATTGAATAAAGTACCGTATTTTACGGTCCAAACCACCCCCCTGTCGGATTATGCTGATATTTTTATTTGTCAGTTTTTTTTTATTTTTTTTTATTTTATGTATTGTTACATATACTGTAAATAAACTATTATATGCACCATTTAAATATCTGCATGTCCGATAATTATTTTATGACAGGGGGTGGTTTTGGACCGTAAATTACGGTATATTACATGACTTTTTAATTTTTAAGTGGTGATTTTGCCCTCGTAGACCATTGACTAGTAAATTGATCAACCCTGGTTATGATCTATGACATTGCTTATTAATTATTTTCCTCATATAATCATATCTTTTTCATGTATAAAATTATAATATGTGTTAAGTTATATAAATAAATCTCATAATATCGATATGCGATAACAGAAGAATTTTGTATTTAATAAATTATAAATTAGATAAATTAACAGCAATTTTAAATATATACTTATGTGCATTAATTGCATCATAGGTACAGTATATACTATATATTTTCTTATACCAAACCTGTCTAAAGTCGCCATGGAACAGGCTCAGCTTTACTAACACCCACTGTAGAATTCATTTCCGTAGGTTGTTTATATTCTTTTTCAATATTAGTTTCGCATTTACTTTTGCTTATAAAATTTGACTTAGAATTTGTAAGGCTGCTAGTATCAGAAGATTGTTGGTGTGCCGCATCAGTTTCATGCTCGCATTGATCCTTTATTAATGGTCTCGACGACAAACAACGACTATTTTCATTTATTTCGTTGAAAAAAGGATGTGATAAAGCACGTTTGGCTGAAATGCGTAATATGTCGTCGTATGTCAACATTTTCTATTGTATATTAATATATGTCATGAGTATGTTAAAGAAGATATCATAATGAATAAAAATGTCTTAAAACCAACATTTGCCAACGTTGTTTAAAACGGTTCAACTTACACTGAGCAAATCAACACCAAGAGAGCTTAAAGTAGGAACGTATTTATCAAGGGGTTGTGGTTTCCATTTTGGAAAAACAGGTTTGAAATCTCTAAATTGTGTTATGCTAGGCCAAACACTTTCGTCCGGAGTTCCAAGAACCCTTACATTATTTATTAATTCAATTAAATATTTTCATTAAAATAAATAAATAAATAAATAAAGCTTACTGAAAGATTCGAAAAAGTTCATCTATTTCACTATCTCCTGTTCATATAGTATTTATTAATAATCGTACACCACAGAATAATATATAGATAACAATTGTTTTTTAAATAAAGTCTCACCCTTGAATAAGACCTTCTTATTAACCATTTCGGCAAATATACATCCAATACTCCACATATCAACAGCAAAAGAATAAGTTGGACTACCGAGCATAAGTTCTGGAGCTCTATACCACAGAGTAATCACCTAAAAATAAAATATCATGCTTGTATATAAAGAAATCAAAATAGATTCAAATCTTAAAGTAAACGATACCTCATGTGTGTAAGGTCTCAAAGGAATACCAACGGCTCTGGCCAACCCAAAATCTGCTAATTTAAGGTTTTCTTCTTTATCAATTAACAGATTTTGAGGTTTTAAATCCCTATGAAAGATTCGTCGTTTATGTAAGAATGTGGATCCATCAAGAAGCTGGTACATGAGTTTCTGGTTTTTCGATTTTAAAAAAATGATGAAATTAATTTAATAGTCCATAACAAAATAACCAAAAGATGAATACGTAAAAAAAAAAAAAGGTACCATAATCTTATTATGCTCCAATCCTTCTTTGGAAGAATGAATATATCTTTTCAAATCCATTGTAAGAAACTCGAAAACAAGAAATAATTTATTTTCTTGATTTACTATATCAAGTAGTCTAACCAAATATTGGAATATGTATTAAATGTGTTATACTTTTGTTATGTGTTTATATAATAAACATACTTTACAATATTTTCATGTTTCATGCATTCCTTTAGCAAAGAAATTTCTCGAAGTGAAGTAGGTGGAATTCCTTCTTTTTCTCCAATAGATGAATCTAGACGTACTTGTTTGAGAGCTACGATTCTTCCGGTTTTTTTATCTTTAGCCCTATAAACTACTCCATATGTCCCTTTTTTTATTTTTTTTTTTAAAAAAAAAATAGATTAATGTAAACAATGTGCACATAGTAAAGAAATTATATTTTTGTGACTAAATTTAGATTCCATACAAAATAGGAATACAAAATTTTTTATTATTCTATAATGCTTAAATGCATCTATCTATTATTATACATATTTATATATTCTAATCTCTTCCGATTAATTAATACCTTCTCCAACTTTTTCCAATTTTTCAAAATCTTCCATGTTCATCTTTTAAAATTATCTAAATTTACAAGTATCACTTTTGATCTAAAATACATGATAACGGTAGCAATTTAGTGTTTTGTTGTTTGTTATAAATTACGTAATCAGTTGATTAAACACGATTTACGTCATTATTAAAAAAATCTTATAATCAGACATTGCGGATTCGTGTAACACTTATGCATTGATAGGTCCCCGTCATTTAACATCTAGTACGTACGTGCGTACGTACGTGAATGTAAATTCACAGTACTATGGATGTCAGTAGAAAAACTTCTTTAATCGGTTAACAGAAACGAATTATTTTATTCAACCAGTTGTC